GAAAGGGCCTCACGCACTCACCGCACTCACGCACTCATGGCCTTCACACACCTGATGCGCTCACCACCCTCACGGCCCTCACGGCTGTCACGCCTCTCATGCCACTCACTGCCCTCACGCACTCATGGCCCTCACACCCCTCACGCACTCACCGCCCTCACACCACTCACGCACTCATGGCACTCACGCCACTCACGGCCCTCACGACCCTCGCTGCCCTCATGGCCCTCACCGCCCTCACAGCCCTCACCGGCGTCACAGCCCTCACGGCCCTCACAGCCCTCACGGCCCTCATGGCCCTCACGGCCCTCACCGCCCTCACCGCCCTCACCGCCCTCACCACCCTCACCGCCCTCACGGCCCTCACGGCCCTCACCCCCCTCATGGCCCTCACCGCCCTCACAGCCCTCACGGCCCTCACCGCCCTCACAGCCCTCACGGCCCTCACTCACCCTAACACTCATGAATTTTCCTGTTTCAGAAACTCACTCACCCTCACCTCACCTGTGAAGATGAGGGTGAGTGAGGGTGAGTGAGGGCCCTCATGAGTGAGGTTTGCCGAGGTATGGTTAATAGGCAGCACGCGCCATAGGAAGGGGCCGGGCAAATAGGGTTTTTGTTCTCCGTCTGGTGCCTCGTGATGTCGCTAGGCGGGGAAAACCGCGCTCCGCTTCGCAGGAAGAATAGTCAAGTCAGTCAGAGCATCGTAAAGCTCGAGGCACCTGCAGGACAAAATAAATTCATCATATCCGATGCATGTTCAAATTTCACTTGGCATCTGCATTAGTAGTAATAAGAACTGGAACCGAGAAGGTAATACCCGAGAATATACTAAATCCGCGCACTTCGTACGCTACGTCTATTGAAAATTGTGAAAGCAGCTGAAAGTTTCTTCACGAATACTTCCTTGGACACTAGTTTATTAAAATAATTATGATTGGATACATTTACGTATATATTTTAGTGATGTTTTTGTGAATTTTTTTTTTAAATTCCACCCCCTGCTAACATGCTTCACAGCGATGCAGCCTTTTTCTAACTAAAATAAAATTCACAGAAATGCAGGAGGAATGCGTTTCTGCAATCACAAGAAGTAGGAAAACACAACGTTGCTTTAATTTCGCTCCAAAGGCAGGCTCTTTTATTATAAAATAATATAAGACTCTGACATGTCAGCGCGAAAAACTCGCTGCATGTTGTAAACATGCAGTGAATAGAAATGGAATCTCTCCAGGTGGGGTTCACTGTGTCGTTGACGACGCCAGTTTATTGAAACTAAAAATATTGAAAATAAATGATGGCGCATCAACAGAGCCTCTTTGCTTGCTCAAATGGGTCAGATGGTATTTTATGGTGGGATACGGTGTTATTAGGAGATGACCCACACATGCTTGCACCGCAAAATGGTACGCAGCATCTCATGCCTGGAATAGAACCTCGATATACGGATTTGTAGATATCTACTGTTTGATATCAAATAGCTACAGCTATAAGCTTCATGAGTACGGTTTTAGGGGAAAGATATTAGAGTTATTTCAAAGTTATCTTTCTAAACGAACACAATGTGTAACGATTAATAATTTTATCTCTACACCACAAACAGTGCTTACAGGGGTACCACAAGGCTCTGTTTTGGGGCCCATTTTTTTTTCTCTCTACGTCAATGATTTTCCTTCTGTTTTATGTCAGTCTGAAGCACTCATGTATGCAGACGATACGGCATTAGTTTTTGTCGGGGACACAATAAGTGAACTACAAGGTAAAATAAATGAAGAATTAACAAGGGTCTTAACGTGGTTCACTAGTAACCAACTCACACTTAACATAAAAAAAAACTAAGTACACTGTGTTTCACTCTAGGAGAAGGCAAACAAATTCTGAAGAACTAGCTATATACTTAAATAACGTGCAGTTGCTGCATGTTTCCTGTTACAAATATTTGGGTGTCTTGTTTGAAACCGATATGCATTGGAAGAATCAAATTAAAAACATAAGCACAAAACTTGCACACGGATGCTACACACTACTAAAGGCTCGGGAGTTTTTTAATTCGTCTATACTGCGCATTCTATACTTTGCATTTGTACATAGTCACTTGAATTACTGTATAGAGTCTTGAGGCGGAACATACACCACGTATTTAGAGCCACTCAGTCGATTGCAGAAAAGGGCTATGAGACTCATTACTTATTCTAGATATACCGAACCAAGTGGTCCTCTATTTCGATCAGTTGGTGTGCTGCCAATAGACCTCCTATACAACTTAAAAATAGCTGACACAGTCTTTAAAATAATAAAATCTAACGACCCACTCCCATTACAGATATTTAAATTACCATTACGGAATACGAGAGCTGCAACAAATAATCTGTTTAATTTGCCATCTTGTCGAAATGTTTATGGAGAAAGGCTTATTGAATTCAACGGTGCCCTGGTATGGAATGATATCCCTACCGACATCAAATGTAAACACAATATATTGCCATCCTTAAAGAAGTATTTAATTAAATTGCGAGCCAATGAATAAGTTCAATATCATGCCCTATATATTTTTTTCAATTAGTATGTATGTTGTTTTGTGAATACTTTGATGTGTGCGTACATTTGTTTTGTTTGACTGCCGCATTGTAAAGGTTATTTCTAATGTTGGACCCGCGACTAGCCTCCACGGCTATGGGTCCAAGCAACGATTGTGTATTTAAAAAAAGAATAACAAAGGAATAATAAAGGAAAAAAAAATACAGAAAAAAAAATCGCTGCGTTTTTATTTCTTTTGCGTGTTTATGACTACAACTTGCATCGTTTTAGACAATAATAAAAATACGACCTTTGGGGTGTCAGTGCCCTTTTAATAGCTGGTTCTGCTTCTGCGTGTCTAATTGTTTTGTACCGTTTTTGTTTTGTTATTTGTCAATGATGTACTGAGAATATGTCATTTCTACTTCGACGTTTAGCACTGCCTGAGCTTGATTTTTCAGACAATGTTTGCTTGTTTACAGCGTTGCGTAAAGTAGTTCTAAAGATACTTGAACTAAAGCACAAAGTAAATGAGAGGTTGTGTATTTCAAGTAAGGTAGTAAGTACACCGCGTGCAATGTGACTGGAGTAGAGTCTGATACATACCAAAAACAACGAAACCTGTATTTCTATCTAAGCCACAATGTGTTATTTTTTTGTGTTTAGAGTTCACTACACTTTACAGTCATGTCTAGTTAAAACGGATCCGGTTAATATGGGTATCCGCTAGGGTCCTTCGTTTTCGAAATCGAGGGGTAAAAATCAGGCGCTTTGATCCGAGGTGGTAATCGAGGAGATATTGGGTTTTTTTAATTAATGATTACAAAGATCGGGCTTCTCGAGTTATATTTCGAAATATACAAGTATAGGCAACAAGTGATCGGTTGGAGTAGAAATATAATTTTAATAAAGTACTCTACACAAGATAGCATTGAAACATACTAAGAGCTAACATAGGATTTAAACTTTTTCGTAAATCCTTCTTGCTGACATAATATTTTGAATGCGCAGCATATCTCTGTCTTCATTCAAGACCTGTCCAGTTTTCGGACATAGTATCTAAGTTGAGAGAACGTTCTCTCAGCACTACAGCTTACGTACATTTAAAGTAGACGGTTTCTAATCCTTTTTTTTTTTTTTTGCGCCGGTTGAAACTGAAAAAGAAGGGCAAAGGAAAATTCACAACAGACATAAAGGCCACTTTTGATTCGCTGAATCTATGTAACTGCAGTTCATCGAATCTAAAAGCTAGGATTGTTTCCGTGGTTTGAAGCCAGAGCTTGTGTAGCTACCTACTCTTTGTTTCCCAGAAAATATTTTCAGAGCAGGGTAATTGGGAAAAGGCTGCAATTTAATTCCGGAATTCGGGGAGAAATCTGGTTTAAATCTATTTTCAAGAAACACGTACGGGACGATATATCAGTAAATATCTAGCTTTACCCGATAACGAAGAACCCTAGGTATGCATCGCTATGTAGACCACACCTTTAAAGAGAAGCTTAGAAAACTCCGATTTTTTTCTCATTATTATGGACGCTTCTTTGGAGGAACGGAGGTGTTCATATTAACGAGACATCCCTGTATCAGTTGCAAATCAACGCATTTACTCTACTGTAATTGGAGACTATTTTCGATGTTATGTAATTTGATCTAATTTAAAAAATATGTATATTTAGTGTTTAATCTAGGAATGACACACGTTCGGCACACGGGTCACATTAGGTAGGCCGTAAGACCAAACCTATTGCTGCCATAAAAATAAATACAGTTTTATTGAGTAAGATAACGGCGTCGCCGCATAGCACTGTGACTTTCGAAAATTTCCAGTCTTCGTTGCGAGTGTTACACATTGCTTATATACATCATACAAAAAACGGTCTGCCTACAGATTCGAACAGAAGTCACCGCGAGACCCGTGCTTCAAATGCCGCATGACAATGAGTTCAAGGAGAATCGTGGCACTTGGCATTCGAACAACGAATATTTCTGTGACTTGTGTTTGCAGACTGTCTTTTGTATAATGTATGAGCACTGGGATCCCGGCTAAAATTATGAAATTTAACCCATTGATTCTCGGAGAAAACCAACCCGGAGCCACAAGGGTTCACTCGTAAGTATTTCACAGTTCTGGCAGGTATACTTTTGCATAGCCAAGTCTGGCTTTGCTTCGTGGGACCAACATTTTCTTGTACATAGCAGAGCTCCGCGTGAACGGAAAAGCGCAAGTTATGCCACTAGCAGATGTTGCGCAATAGCTTGCTTGTGCACAGTGGAGCCCTGTCGTAGTTAACAACCTCCATCTGGTTTTCTGCGTAGTCTTTGACCCCGCCCTGCTTTACACTTACACCACAAGAAGCTTTCAATTGCAAAATTTTAGGCAATTTTTTTGTTGGCCAATAGAACTGTTGATTGGCTCATGGAGAAGAGGGCTGGTATCACACAACGTATAAATACCCACATCCCTGAACGTTTAAGACGCGCCCATCTGTTTGCTTTTGAGGCACAACATGAAGCTTGCTATAAGCTTGGCCGTTTTTGTGTGTGGAGTTCTAGTGGGAGCCTATGGCAAAATGACTGCTACCACTTCTCGAGGGAGATTACGTGGCAGTATGACTACAGTTCCCCCTGAATACGACCTATCAAAACAAGAAGAACAAAATGCAACCAGAGTAAGTGCAGTTTTGTTATGGAAAAGTTACAACCAACTGTTTCTTTTTCATGCACTTCCGAGTAACTTTTGTAATTTTCTGACTGCAGAAAAACGTGAGAAGGAAATTGAAAAAACGCGTACTGCTAGAAAACAAATTTAAAGATTTGTGCATTAGGAATGCGCATCTTTCAATTAGACAGCGCAGAAGAATCATCGCTACTCTAGAACTTACCGAAATATTAAAGTTTACCAACTAGAGTTTTTGTTAATTGGCGTTACTAATTTACTGGGACAGACGCGATAATATTTAACATATTCATTTTCTCACCATCAGAGTTGGCATAATCAAATTATGTTAAAGATGGTATAGACAAAATTTGAATGTTATGGTTTGTATTGACCGTTGTCAGATTTTATGAACACCACACTTGAACGCAAATCTGCGCTTCGTCGCGAATAGGTGCTCTTGATATCCGTTGAATATCATCCTAAAGTAGCTGCAACGCGTTGCTGGTTGAGGAGCTTCCAGAGGTCTGGCACGTCTGCTGGCACCGGTGACTTCACTGGCAGACAAACTTCGAACACGTTCATTTACATATAATACAAGTTTAAGAATAAAAATTGTGTAAAATAAATAAAACAACAATTATGCAGTGCGGCATGCGTAGTAAGGGGACATATTGTGAAGTTCGCCCCTCCTGCTCCTCTATCCATACTGACACATATCATGCAGCTACAACAACGGCCGAAGACAAAGCCGCGTTCTAAGGAAACGAAAACTAAAGGCTGGTTCATCCACTTGCAATTGCTTAAGACAGTGTGCCTTAAAACCTCTTAACACACTGACGCCATCTATGGGGTGGCCGTGGAACAAATTGCATTTCCGTACATTTTCTCTTTTTTTCGCGCATCATTTTTTTCTTAAATGTAAACATTTTCGACGGACATCCGTCTGGTTAGGAATGATTAATAATTCTTCAACTTAGAAACTCTAACCAAGCTTTATTAAAAAGCAAAAATCCCGACGTTTCGGAACCAACTTTTTTTTCTGCTTCAAAGGTATTTGACATAGTTATAGACGAACATTTTTCATAGGTAGTACTTATATTTGACCTCGTCGTGAATACTGCAGAACTTTTGCTCTAGTGATATCTAGTTCCAGGGTCACCTCACAGGTGGCACAGACGTGCCAGTGTGTTCTCTCGTTGAATGAGATTACAAGGACTCGGTTAATAATAATTGGGGTTGTGTGGATATTTAGACAGCGGGTAGTTCCTCAGCCATTTCAAAGCTGCGGTCTTCAACGTGTATCACGCAGTATCGATACACGACCGCACACCAGTGCGATGCTCATCGAGATCGAAACGGGTAGGGGTGTGGATTGAACCCAGGATCCCTGGGTCCTGCAGAACGAGCTTTCGCTCCACGTGCTCCGAGCTGGTGTGCGCTAGCCCATTCGGCCACCGATCCCCCCAAGGACTCAGTTCGAACTAAACGCAACTGTGTGAACGCGCACAAAGTCTCGATTCCCACATATGTGGATTTTTCAAGGTCCTTTAGCCCGTTTCTGTAAGGCGAGACGACACCCGCGTTTCGGTTGTAAACAAACCGAATGTTTGAAAGACTCCTCTCGGTTTGCGGTTAATACCAGACGCACCGTGTTAACTGTAGCGCTTACAGAGTTGTGTTCACGTTGTCTGGAGTTGAGATGTGTAAATTGAAATGTGAGTCTTTTATAAAAAAAATAACTGATACATAGTAAAGAAAACCTTACACCTGGCGAAAAGATTGCAATTTGTATATACGAAGGGAGCGGTTTCAACAAAAGACCACCAATCCGCGCATTTAGATAACTAAACCTAGTATGTTTGATATTGCAAAGATCGCCCAGCAAAACGATTGTTGGGATACGCTTCTCCGCCAGTCGAAGCAGTTATCAATCGCTATAAATTTCAGACTATAATCAGCGATGCGGCTTTCATAAAAGCACGACTAAAACATGCAGTATATCAACGTCTAATAATCACTAACCTGTCAATTGAACAGATTATGTGCAAATACCTTATTTTTATTCGATCAATAGACTTAAGGCAAAAAATAATGTCGTGATAAATTATAACATTCTTCCACTCAATTGCTGGAAGATTAGTTTGCCATCACGATATATGTTGATTACTCTGTTGTTCATATTAGACTGGTTGTATTTACAAATCTGCTTGCCCTTTCTATTTGGCTATTTAGTCTGAAGCACGCCTATGATATATATATATATATATATATATATATATATATATAATTAAGTTGGCACAAAGATTCGTAACGTCTGAATTCCGAATTACAACATTAATACTAACACAAAATAAAAAAGAGCTAACAAGGATTTCGATTAACAGTAAAACATTTCATCACGGAAATGACCGGGTCTTGCTATAATCCGCAAGACACTAAAGAAATAAGTGAAGTCGTCTAGGAGGTGCATTTTGACGCTGTTGGAGCTTCCTTACACGTGAGATCGTCTTCGTGTTTTGGTATTCTTCATCTGATGAATGGCCACTAAAATAAATATCATTCATGTCAGGCAGGGATTGACAGTATTTCAAATTCTTTCTGTATTTTGAATTTGTATTTAATTACAAATTGGGTAATGTATTTGACGTGTGTATTTAAATACTAAAACGTGGGTATGTCAAATACAATTGCAATTAAATACAATTTTGTGGGCAAAAATACATCCCTCAAATTTATTGTCACTGTCCAGAGCAGGAAGAAAAGTATGTTCTGCACCGAATGCAGCGTCTCTCAATCAAGCACAAGCGTTTAGTGACTTCGTGATTACGGTGCTAGTCTAGGGCAAGAATAGTGACGAAATCGACGTTCACCGGCAGACTGGCTAAATAAGTGCCTGTGACAACTTGTGATGCTTTCCAACCTGATTTCCATCCATATTTTTGCCTGGAACATTCTAAATGCCGGGTCGTCCAGATTTTCGTAACTGGTGTGAGTTGCAACAATAAAAAACTCTCTAGCTAATGCTGCGTGTCCTGGTCGTCTCGGTTCTTTGTTGGTCTATACTAAAATGGGATCGACAAAAAAAGCTGCTTCAAGCTCTGTACTTTTTTCACCTATTACGTCCAAGCTGATTACATTTTTTTTTGTGATTATAGTTCTATTACGTTACCAGAGCCTCGCACACTAACTCCCGAGTGCGCGATGCAAAATTAAAATGCGGTCCCCAGAAACCCGTTGCAGGTGCCCTGAAGTCGCTGACGCAAATTTTGAGGAATGTATTTCGAAAAGTAATTGGAGGAGACCAACTACATTTGGTTGTATTTGTATCTTGTACTTAAAGGAGCTGTGCAACGATATTCAATTGGAATGTATCTCTCTATACAAGAGCTTACTGGCACACCTGGGACTCAAGGATACTCACACGCAACGCCATTGGCCAAGAAACTCCTTTGTTGCGGTGTAATTTCAAGGACAAAAGCGATCCTTTTCATTCAATCTCTCCTTTGCAAAATTTGATGACGTAACTCGGGGGTCCCAGTACACCCAAGTGACGATATTTGAATGCGGTTCATAGATTGGACCCGAGCATTGCGTGGGCACTCGACTTGGGCTCGTGACAATTGCTAGCTCGAGAAGCATTCGGGTTTTGACCCGTGTCCAATCGCTGCAACGACGACAACAGCCGAGCCATAACAATGCCTGGAACTCAGCGCGTGTCCTGCGCTTTGCCAACCCCAGCGCGTGGCTATGATCAACACTAGCGGCATATAATCGGCTCCAGATCACGTGGCCGCTTGTTCTGGCTGCGAGTTGAGGGGGTGAACGCTGCTCGTTTTTCTTAAATTTTTTTCTGGAACTTCTATTGCGTGGGGTTAAAAACGAACGCGTGTTTCATAGGTCATTAACGTTAGGGATCCGTTTTAAGCGGTATTTGCGCAAAGTACAAATATTGTTGCATTGGTCCTTTAAATGCTTTTCTGGAAATGTAATTAGATTTGTAATTAAATACATTTTTGACAAAGTATTTTGAATTTGTGTTTCGATACATATTAGCATGTATTCTGCCCACTCCTGATGTCACGTCTACATCACATGACGTAGATCTGTCGAGTCTCGCCTTAGTAGTGAAATTCTTTACCATTGTTCTAATGTCTTTACACTACCAACGGTCTTCGGAGCACGCAAGCCCTAAATTAACGTCTGTGCAAAGGACCTCAGAGTGGATTATGCGCCGCGCCATAGTGATAGCGTACTTATTAATAAGAATTACACGAGTACACTTAAGACTGCTACGCGTATTAAAGTTTAGGTCGACTTATAGGACGACGTCGCGGACGACTTCCTAGAGATCGACGCCAAGTACAATGCCAAAGACAGCTTATAGGACGATGTCTCGAACGACGTTGAAGACGACGTCTTGAACGACTTCTGGCGCTACCTCCAAGACGACCTTAAGGACGACGTCGAGAACGACTCCTAAAGGACGATGCCTAGGACGAAATCAAGAACGACGCCTAGAGGAGAACATATAGGACGACATCGTGGTCGACATCAAGGACGACGTCCAGGACGACTTCTAGGACTAGGACGACCTCTAGGACGAAGTCAAGAACGACGTCTAGGACGATTTCTGGGACGACCTCTAGGACGACCTTAAGGAGGGTATCTAGGACGACGTCTAGGACGACATTGAGAACGATGCATAGAGGAGGATACTTAAGGAGGCTGTAGCGATTTTGCGAAGACGGCCACGTTCGCATGAGGAAGCCGCCACAGATGTAGGCTCTGCTGCGGATGTCGAGGCCGTAGGTGTAGACGCAGTCGCCTCACAGTTCATCGCACGAAGAACACAATGAGCTCATATGAACTCCGAAGCGCATTTTCTGCATACGGCGCTCCGGCGGTGAAATCATGCTAATGACGTTTGATGATATCACGCTGATGACGCTTGATGACGTAATTTTATGGCCATCTTTCGGGCACAATGCCGCCGCCGCCGCCTCTTGTTTTTCACGTAATGTGACAAGCGAGGTCGTCCTAGAGGTCTGGGACGACTTCTAGGACGACGGTAAGGACAACGCCAAGGTAATGGAACAAGTAGGGTGGCCCATTGAGCGGCGCGTACCGCTGAATCGTATTTTTATCGGCTTAAACGACGTTTTGTTTTTGCTCAATGGGACAAGCAAGGCTTTCGCCTTGAAGTATCGCCGGTTTCATATCTCAAACTCATGTTCCAGGAAACAAAACACCGACCGCAAAGCGGGGAAGAAAAACTACATGCGTTTAGTGAATTACTAGTCGGGAAAATGTTGGGCGCCCATCCGAAAGCACGTCAGAAGACGCGACTCACGCACCTTATCTCGCCAAACCGCCGTCTCCTTCCTATTGAAAATGACCGTCTGCTACGGCCACCATTCCCATGGCAACGAAGCGTCCCCCGGATAGATGTACACGCGAACATATCCGTCTCAAGCCAGCAAAGGCTGACGCCTTGCATTTTCCGAATATCGCCTGCTAAGCGACGACGGAGTAGCCGCCTCGGTGGCTCCGAGGCGAGAGCGCCGGCCTACGGATCCCCAGGTGGCGGGTTCGAATCCCGACCGAGGTGCCCGCAATCTGACGGAGGCTTATTGCGGAGAAGGCGCCGTGTAACCGAGTTTTCGGTTGCACGTCAAAAGATCCCCAGGTGGTCCAAATTAATCCTCAGTCCTCCGCTGGGGCGTGCCAGATGCCCTCGTAGGTTTGGCACGTAAAACCCCCAAATTTTGACGACGGAGTAACAGGTCGACGGAGCATCTTCTAGGGGTTCCAACCTAGGTAGGCTTCCAAACAGTCTGTTTTACGCGCGATAATCACTCGCTTCGGATCGGGACGAATTTATTATACTCTCCGGCCCGAGCTTGCACCGAGCGTCAACAGAACCGCCAAAGGTACGCCGGGTGACCGCTTCCTGCTTCCAGCCTTGACTGCGCACGACCGCGTCCGGCTTTGGTTAGCGTCATCCAATTTAGCATACAATGTTCGGAAAATAGCGCTAGCTATTGCTAACTTCAACGTCTGCGTTCGCGTGTCCGTCTCTTCAGGAGACGTTTCGTTGACACGGTGACGGGGACCATAGCAAATGAACTTTATTAGGCTGAAGGTAAACGACGGTGTGGCGATGTCAGCTGCGTACTTGGGCCTTTCGCCGTGCCTTTCGATGAGCGGAGCGTGAACATTTAGTTCGAAATAAGAACTTAGCGCAGATTGCTCATTTTCTTCAGTGCCTAATATTTTACAAGCCTTGAACGAAAAACATTTTTTAAGCTCAAAATATAGTATAAGCTTCTTTCTTTCTTTTTTTTTTTTATTTTACCCCTGCATGGGGCTAACTTGCTGATGTGCCGGATTATGTTAAATAAACCGCATGTTTTGGGGGGCTACACTCACGCCTCGTCTTCTAGAACGTTTTGTAAGTTTATATATGATTTAATATCCGTAATTTAAAAAAATGATGGTTGAATGTGCTAAAATATTCATTTGCCAAGCTAAAAGATATTGAATTCGATAAGTTGGGCAGCTTTTGGATTGCTCATTTAGAAGAGGATGATGCACGTCGCAATAATGAGTATTGCTACACCATTCGCAGGTGGTCCAAATGAACGCTACACAATGGGTCAAGTGGCGCACGTATAATGTGACAGATCTTTTCAAAGGTTACCCTCTGCAGTGCGAAAATTTCAAGGTTATGGAAAAGAGAACACCGACGAACTACTCTTTACAATACAATTATAGGAGCGGATATAGGTAATTGTGATTACTGTCATACTCTTTCAACTATTTACTTCCTTCCCACCACTACAAAATTGACTTTCCTTTTGCAGTTGGGAGACAATCAACGAAGACCTAATTTTGGGATTTCTCAATCTACGGCCCCTTCCCCCAAATGACATGTTCTTTGCGAGGACTCCTAGTAAGTAACAACATATTCAGCAACTGAACATACTCCACGCTCTAATGATAAACTGCTGAAACCTTCTATTTTAGTAGACCCATCTCACCAGCCAGTTTGGCTGCGCCATCGTTTCTGGAATTCATCTTCACTTCACCTCATTACCTTAAAGACCCCCATGAGGAGGTATTACTTAAGGGCTGGGTACACATGAATTAGTTCTTGGGTGCCATAAATATTCAGAGAGATAGATATGAGTTGCTACATTGTCCATAAAGGTTGATGGGCAGGTGATGGCAGCGATGTTGCGGGAAACACCGTTCCAGTCTCAGGCTGCGCGGGGAAAAATGAGGAAAAAAATGTGACAGTACGGGCGCGTGGGCGTGCCACTTGGAGCGGATGACCAGCGCGCTGAGAAATGAGTGCTGGCGGTATGATGTAAGGCATGGAACCAAGCAGAGAATAATAGAACTTGTAAAACAAAGAAAGGGTGGTGATGCGACGACGGGTAGAGAGGCGGCAAGCCTGATTCTGCTTTCAGGGATGATATGCTGACGTCACATGAATACGAGGAATGAATGAATCTAGTAGCGCGATTTTTTTAACTGCTTCAAGTGCGTTTATCAGATATACTTTGTGCGGGCTCCAGATTGTGGACGCATATTCTAGTATTGACCTGATAAGTGGTTTGTAAGCGAGTAATTTCACATGTTGGGTGGAGTGACGGAGGTAACGTTTTAAGAATCCCAATGTTTTGTCTGTAGGTGAAATAATATTAGTAACATGCGTGCGCCAGGATAGATCGTTGCACAGAGTGACGCCAAGGTATTTATATGACGCTACGATTTCTTAGGATATGTTAGCGATAGCGTAAGGGAAGAGAAGGGGATTGCGGGCGGCGATGAAAGGACGCGAGATTACATTTATTAATGTTTAGCTTCATGAGCCGACCGTCATACCATTCTTGTACGTGGTTAAGGTCATCTTGGAGAGATTGTTGTTCAAAAATGTTAGTCACAGAGCGATAGATAGCACAATCGTCAGCAAACATACGGATATGACCAGACACATGAAGTGGCAAGTCGTTAATGTATATTTTATTTATTTATTCATATTACCCCTAAAGGCCCTCGTGAGAGGGTATTACATAGGGGGGACCAAGGACGGATCCTTGGGGGACGCCTGATGTAACTGGAAGTGAATGAGATGACTGGTTCTTAATAAGCAAAGACTGAGAGCGATTGTTCAGAAATTCTTTAAGCCAATATAACCTATCCGAGTTTAAATTTAACTGAGAAAGTTAAGAAGCAAACGTTTATACGGTACTTTATCGAATGCTTTCGCGAAGCCCAGGAAAATGACGTCAGTCTGTAGATTAGAATCACGATTAACATGCAGATCATGAAGAAAAATAGCGAGCTGGGTTTCGCAAAAAAAAAAAAAGCATTTGCGAAACCCGTGTTGCGACGGGTGAAAAAAAAATTAATAGAGTCTAGGAAATGCATTGATTGGGGGTAGATGATGTGTTCCATGAGTTTGCAAGGCACGCTCGTTAAAGAGATGGGACGGTAATTTAGTGCAGAATCTTTGTTGCCCGATTTGTAGATTGGAACGACCTTCTTCTTTTTCCAGTGCTCTGGTATGATGCCTGTGGTGAGGGACTGAGTGAATAGTAAGCACAAATACGCTGCGCTCCATACTTAGTATTTTTTTAGGAATTTAGAGTTGATTTCATCTACGACGGCTGACGATGACAGTTTGATATTTTCGAATACAGAAAAAATGCCATCTTCGAAAAAAGTGACGAGGGGCGTTGCTATCACTATGTTAGTAACAAACATGTGAAATGACGTGTACGGTTCTTCGGTGACAACTGATGAAAAAGCAGTGTCAAACATGTTCGCGCACTCTGTATCCTTGGCAACTTCACCAGATTCTTTTTTAAGGGAAACAGTGTGCATCTGCTGAGGGTTTACAATTTACCAGAACTTCCTGGCGTGGTTGAGTAGGAAATTAGGTAGGTCGGTGTGAAAGAAAGAGCGCTTAGCGCATCGGATGGCAGACAGATGGATGTCTTCAGCTGCATAGTATTTGTCCCACGCACAAGGGGTTGTCCTTTGCTTGGCTGCACGGAATAGTCTTTTTTTTTCTTATTTTCTAGTCTTTTCAGAGTATCGGTGAGCCATGGTTTTTGGCAATTGGAGCAAAAACTGACTTTCGGTATGAATTTATTTACCAGCTCTTCCATCTTGCTATTGAAAATCAACCAATTTTCGTTTATGGATCGGTAATGAAACGATGACTGAAAAGATCTGCAAGACGTGGTCAATTCATACATTTATGGTGTCGTAATTTACTTTATCATAGAGACGGATCGTTTTCTTGTATGTCTGGCGTGCTATCGGAAGAAACTAAAAAAACAGCGTGAATAACTCTGTGGCCAGTGATTTCGCGGAGAAAAGTAATGGGTGATAAGCTGTCCGGTTGACTTGTTAGTATTAGGTCTAAAACAAATGCAGATTCGTTTGACATGCGTGTTGGTTCTGATACCAATTGGGGGAGATTCAAGTTGAGACATACTTCCATAAGTTCCCTCGTTTCTGCGTTACCCAGTTAGACTTGACGAGCTGGTCCAATCAGCGTTCGGGTAATTAAAGTCTCCAAAAAGGAGGATATTTGCGTTGGGGTGTTCTGTGGTAAGTTCGCTTAAGATGTTATTAAGTTCAAGGGGAGAATCAGGACTGTTATGTGGGGGTCTATAGCATACGCCGAGTAGAACAGTTTGAGGAACTACTTGGCAGATAAGCCATAATATTTATAGGTCAGACATAATGTTGAGAACAGAACATGACAAGTGTTGGCTAACGGCAATAAGAACGCCTCCCCCTCGAGTGCCCTTACGATCGTTACGAAAGAGGTTGAAATTCGGTAGATCAGCCAACACCTCAGAGTCTGTGACGTAATTAGTCAGCCATGTTTCAGTTAATGTGAATAAATTGCTGGCAGATGACGACACAAGATTGGACACAAGTTCGCGCTTCTGAAGGAAACTACGTATGTTAGTAAAGATTACAGAAAAGGAAAGATTTGTTCAGGCAGAAGTCTGAGTGTTTTTTTACTCGCTGATAGCGGGGTGATCGCTATGATATTTCTTTTACAGTTTCTATTGCCTCATCAGCGGAGAGAAAACGCGACAGATTTGGTTTTAGTAACAGCAACAAGGTGCCTCCGAGCTTTACGAACAGGACGAGAGAAGTCTTCGCCAATGCTGTAATTTGTGCCCTTCAGAAACTTTGGGCCATTTGAAAGTTTGGTTTTGAAAAAGACGAACTTTACAATTATTGGGCGGCACTGGTCAGCTGTATAACACCTAAGTGGACGTTTACGTTCTATTTCTTTAGGGTCCAAAGTGGCGCTGAAGAGATCAAAACAGTGGCGAATGACTTTCTGTTCCGACTGGGCAAACGTTTCTGAGGTAGTGGGTTCAGGAAGACCATAAAAAGTGAAAGCCGTTTACAACACCCTGTAACACCGAATTAGAGCGCAGCTCTTGAGAAGGAGGAGGGAAGGGTACTGGGACGTGAAGTGACCTGGGGGGGGGGGTCACGTGACCTTGGGGGGTCACGTGAGGATGCCGAAGATGTCATCAGTGACGTCACTGATGACGTCATCCATGATGATGACGATGACGATGCGGATGCCGGTGACGTCATCAGTGACGTCACTGATGACGTCATCAGTGATGATGACGATGACGATGCGGATGCCGGTGAGGTCATCAGTGACGTCACTGATGACGTCATCAGTGACGATGACGATGCGGTCTCCGATGACGTCATCAGCGATGATGACGATGACGATGCGGATGTCGGTGACGTCATCAGTGACGTCACTGATGACGTAATCCGTGATGATGACGATGACGATGCGGATGCCGGTGACGTCATCGGTGACGTAACTGATGACGTCATCAGTGATGATGACGATGTCGATGCGGATGCCGGTGAGGTCATCAGTGACGTCACTGATGACGTCATCAGTGACGATGACGATGCGGATGCCGGTGACGTCATCAGTGACGATGACGTCATCGGGGAGGTCACGTGACCTCGGGGGGGGGTCACGTGACCCTGGGGGAGGGGTCACGTGACCTCTGGGGGTCACGTGACCTTAGGGTGACCTTGGGGGCCGCGTGACCTTGGGACGACCTTGAGGGGTCGCGTGACCTTGGGGTGACCTTGGTTACGCCGACGCCGACGGCGATGCCGACGCCGCTCAAGCCGGAAACGGGCCCCTAAGAGCTGCGCCGTACTAGGGTTACCCTCGTGAGGGTAACCCTAGTAACCCTTGTGAGGGCAACTCTCGTGACCCTCGTGAGGGTAACTCTCGTGACCCTCGTGACTCTCGTGAGGGTAACCCTCGTGAAGGTAACCCTTTTGAGGGTAACTAACCCTCGTAACCCTCGTGAGGGTTACGAGGGTAAGTAACCCTCGTGAGGGTAACCCTCGTGCAAGGTAACCCTTTTGAGGGTAACTAACCCTCGTAACCCTCGTGAGGGTTACGAGGGTAAGTAACCCTCGTGGCCCTCGTGACCCTCGTGAGGGTAACCCTTATGAGATTAACCCTCGTAACCCTCGTAACCCTCACGAGGGTTACGAGGGTTGCGGTTACGCCGACGCCGACGGCGACGGCGACGCCGACGGCGACGCCGACGCCGTTCAAGCCGGGAACCGGCGCCTAAGAGCTGCGCTCTAAAAATCAAGATGTTGCGGCGGGAGCGATTCTCGGCATCGTCCAGACGGGCCTCCAGGTCACAGACCTGGCGAGCTGTCTGGGCGGTGCCGGCTCAGGTTTTCTCTAGTTCAGTTCGCACGATTACAAGGCTTTGGTAGTGGCCTTCTAGTTCGGCCATTCGCTTGCTGAGTTCAGATATTTTTTGTCGGTTGTTTGCAGTTGGAGTTTGAGGCCTTGTACCTTAGGAAGCAGTTGAGACTGACCGGCAGACAGTTTTTGCAGTTCAACAACCACAGCATCGTCAGGCCCTGGGTTTGTTTCTACGTCGCCTGACAGCGGCAGTGAAAGACGGACAACATGAACGCATTCAGCACAGACGGCAAGGCATCACTGCGGGCTCGGCAGCTGTACCAAAAAGTAGTTGCTAGACTTCTTAGCAAAAAGACCATACGGCTTACCAACCTGCATGGCGAAGACAATCGGACTAGCGGACTGTATTGTAGCAGAGCCACCGAGCCCACAGAGTGCCGCCGGTAGTCGTCGCTGCTTTATAGGTGCGGCGTCTGGATGTGTCGGTGTCTATTGTTCCTTCCATGATTGGTCGAGGACCCAGTACTCCAGTGCTCCTTCAAAGGCATTTTAGTATTTCTGCAGGTTTGACAACATTCTTAAACCCTGCGCGTGCATAGCTCAATATGGTGCATGCTGTCTCATCCTATGCACGTGCTGGCCGCCTCCTTGGGACAGGCTGGCTGGTGGCTACCTTCTGCCCGTTTGCTCGAAGCCGGTTTGCTTTAACCACGTCAAAACGTTAACCGCCATTCCCTACTAGGTACCTACAAGTACCTAGACAAGTTTGACGACGGCTCTATGAGCGATAGCTCAGTGTTTTGTTATGGCATGGTAGCTAGTATCACCCACTGGTTTTAGTGAATGTAAGAGGCTTTCATGGAAAAGTTCCTGGGAAAGGGGGGATCCAAGAGCGCGCGCTGCCGGGTTTTCGCGACGCAGTGCGGCATGGATTTGATCATAAAAATATGTTTGTTGCTCGTGGTGGAGAGAATGGGCAATGTAAAACTAAACTACCTTTTGCTTACAAAATGTCACCATGTTTGTCTCTGTGAGGTAAAGACAAGCTTCGTTGAAATTTTTTCTAAGTACGAAAGAGGACGACGAAGTCCAGTCAAACGATGAGGAAGAAGTGAGCACTGAAAGGCGGGCGGTACATGGTTGGCCAGCTTATAAGAACTGTATATAAAACATTCATAAATACAAAACCATGTAATTTGGTTTCACTGAAAATAAATCCATTATAAAATTATTGAAGCATCGAGGGGAGTGCTGAAAATGTAATTCTACGCTCCGCGCTATCACCTTTGCCGTATAAAAGATTCGAAGTAAGTAATCTAATACCCGTGCCACACGGGCAACTCGAATGCCATTTACAACGAATGACATTTGTGTGATCGGCGAAAAAAAAATTGGGATGTGTGTATGTTTATACAGCCTAGAACTTGGTCTGCCTCAGAGGGGCGACGAGCCCCCCAGCTGTAGATGAAAAATTTAGCCAGTGCGGTACAGCCGCTAGCCTGGGGTTTTTAACGTGCATCACGCAGTAGTGATACACGACCGCACGCCGGTACGATGCTCATCCAGATCGAAACGAGCAGGTCGGATCCCTGGGTTCTGCAGCGCTAGCTTTCGCTCCACGTGCTGCGAGCTGGTGTGCGCTAGCCCACTCAACCACCAATCCTTTTTTTTATTTTTTTTTATTGCCGGTTTGGACATGCACAATACAAAAGGATCACACTCTTAAATTCACTTCATGAAGATCACTTATGCGCGGTCGGAAAATTTAAAACTCTCTCAAGGTCTCAAGTACGTCTAGAATTGACACCCAATCAGGTGTACAAATCAAAAGGGCGTATACAGATATTAGTCTGCAGACAGATTCTATGAAATACATGCGTAGGGGTCGGCATCAACGTCGGCATGCCTCACTGCCATTCTACTTCTCTATATGGCATGCAGGTCCAGGCGCATGACTAGATCGACAGGGATTTCAACTTCTTGTCAGCTCGCAATCTGTCGCGTGTGAAATGCGCTACGCCAGGAGTGTCGCGCGCTGTTTGGCCATCCGCGCAAATGTCATTCGTTGTGAATGGCATTCGAGTTGCCCGTGTGGCACGGGTATTAGTAAGGCTTTGGCGAACGTGCGAGCAGGATAAAGTTTTTTAGGCTTTTTTTTTAGGACAGTAACTACTGAAGAGGCCAGCACGTGCAGCGCGTGTAACTGCACTCGTTGCATGCACTTTAGTGTCAGGGAAATTTAGAAAAAGGTCTGCTGGGACGCGGTCTGTACCTGCGTGCTATGTATGCCCGGCCGCTTGAGTCAAGGAAGTCCACTATAGTATTCCAAAGGCGTTTCCATGTCGAAAATGATCTTGTTTATTTAGGCTTAGTAATGGCCAGAAACAAAAGGCTATCTAAAACTTAGGCGAGAGCATTGCTATTTTTTTGCTATTTAAGAGAGGGAAGGCAAATCGAAAACCTCTGCCACCATTCACTGCTGACTAACGCGCCCGATATTTCATCTACAACTAAATATTAGTTCCAAATCGAATTACGCTCGCTTCCTGGGTCACCGCCATGTTTCACCGCCGTCCGTATACCCTGCCCGTCACGTGACCTCAAGTACACTCTCGTAGGGAAATGCTGTTAACTTTCTACCGCGGTTAAAGTTAACCAGATTCGAGCGAACGGGCCCTGGGGACTAAAGTTATGGCAGCATCACGCTTTTGTGGAATGCTTGGTGAGATCCATGGAGGTAGAAACATTTATTTCTGAAGCTGTCTCAGGTTGCATTTTAAGCTTGACTTATATCGGATCAGCGTGGACAGCTTTGCTGTGAGTTGTTGTCAAGCACAAATATAATATTCATTTGCCTATAAAATAAGCGAAGATTTTATTCCATAAAATATAATATTCTATGCAGATAGCGACGGTAATAAAATAATAAGGAATTGCTTTAAAAGCATTAACTTTACGCAAGCCTTACGGGCCTAAAAACCTGCCAGTGGCGTTGCGTGAGCTCTCGTAACGCTTTAATCTGCAACGTATTGTGAACATTTTACTTAAACTTGAAATCCCGGTTCCACTACGCTACATAAAGCGGAGGTTGTAGCGGATTGCGGGTAGCGTATAAGGGGAGTGTAACGATATGCTAAAGCACTCCATTGTCGTAAGTCGCCCACTTTCGTGCTCGCTTCAGGCGTCGCTTTGACACCTTGCAAACGACAATATTGTTCCATATCTATATAAAAGTTTTCTGTGCTTTTTTACGATACTTAACGACAACGAACCGTTCACAACCCCGCCTAAGCAAAGTAATAAAATCAGAAGGGTGTTTGAGATAGACTTTATTTAACACAGCTTATTCAGGTAAAATTCTGTAAATCACGTTAACGAATTGAAAAAGAGAAAGAGAAAGCTTAGTCTAGGAAGGCTTTAACAGTGATCATATTAACTAACTGTCGCCCATAATCTAAAAAAAAGAAAGCAGTCTTACACCCCTTTGTCCCATATAATGGACCCCAAAACTTCAGTTGAACGTACAGCGCCCCATAGTCGAACAGACGGCTCCAAATTATAGGAGGTGCCTGATAACGGTGGTGATATAACTTATTAGACAGCTCAAGTAAGTTATCAAAGACTCCAGGAAGAAAACCCTAGGTTTTGCAGTGGGGCCAAGAAAACCCCGATTATATATAAATAAATATATATATATATATATATATATATATATATATATATATATATATATATATATATATATATATATATATATATATTGTGGTCAGTACCACGTACATTAGATATTTCAATAAGTTGTTCCACACGGCTATCAAGCCTCTCGTGAAAGTTGGTACCGACGGTTCAACGTCAGTGCGCGGTACGTTGAACTGAATTTTTGGGGTGTATTATGTGGGACAAAGGGTGTAAGAATACACCCATTATTTTTTTGTTTTTTTTTTAGAGTGCAACCGGAAGCCAAATAAACTGCATTCCGGGTTCTTCGAGGTATTTTAACACCACTTTGCCGTACAGGAGTGTCCGTGAACCCCCCCAATCACGCGCTCGGCTTTTCTTGTGCACACATTTGCGTCCAATGAACCAAACGCGCCGAAGGAGCGCACAGCTAGTGTTTTAGAATGCTCTGCGCAGCCTGCGGAGCGGCAGCCCGCAGGTTTTGGTGGTGATTCATACGCGCCACGGATTACGCGATTCCGTCTCTGGAGGCTTTCTGATTGACTCGGGTGCAAGGAGGACAATGAAAGAACGGCGGTTGAGGACACCTACTACCGGAGCGCGACAAAAACTAGTGTTGAAAATTCAAACTAGGTATAGATTGTAACGAATGGATAGATGTGCGAACATACTTTATGTGTAGCACCACACTTTTGCCAACCCGGATTCTCAGAGCTGAATCTGGCTGCTTGTGCTGCCAACTCGGCTATGCACGTAACAAAATTCTCCTTGTTTCTTTTTTTTTTTTTTTTTAGCGGCACTAGTGGTTTTGGGATTGCACTTATTTTCTGAATTTTCAAAGTCGTAATAAAAGTAGGTTTCACTTGGCAAAATTGGATGGATTAATCTTAATTATCTGGTCAAAATAAGTGAGCATCACACTGTACTCAGCATCATTAAAATATATGTTAGTATTAAATATTGATAACAACTATATATAGAGTGCCATGAAATATCGAACTAATTTTTAACAATGATTGCCATAATTGCGATCTAAATAAAAAAAAAATGATTTGCGAACGACGGCCGGCCGTCAAATCAGCCCCTTATCGCGGCATTAAACGGCAAGTCAGCGAGGCTAGGCGTGTGCCTTCTGCCGCACGCGCGCGCAATGTCTCGCTGACTTGCTCTTTCACGCCGCGATAAAGCGCTGGTTTTCCGGCCGGTCGGCGTTCGCTGATATTGTTAAATATCTTGAGGCTGTACAACTGCATAGCACAGCTGATTTAATTGGGGATGCAAACTTTAGACAGTAAACACGAAACAATGTCTCTCGCCTGGTGAAAAATGTTTCTCTATTGTTCTTTATGATAGAATTTTGCACTGTCAAATAGAAATGGTGTATATGGCTTTTAAACGTGGAGTAAAATTTTCCCACAGTTGGCGTACAAACGCACAATTTAGTGTTGTATTCCAACTACATGAACTGCACCATTCTTCGAATCCCATTTCCAACTGAAGATGGTAAGCTCTCATTTCTTTATAAGTCATATTTGTTTCTCGAGCATGAATCTTGTCCACTTTCATTTCTGTTTGCTTTTACTGACTAACGACTCGACAAAGGTGGGACACTAAATACTGGAGCAGCAATAATAATAAATAACAAGTTAGGTAGTGACTGACATTAAAAAAAAACATTAGGTTTATTTATTTATTTTCTTGCACTTAGTTAATAAATTATCAATTCATTTTCAAAATGTTGCCGTCCACAAACTATTCAATGGTACTTATACCCGTGTCGCTAGGACATAAACAAATCACAGCTGTGTAGAAATAAACTCAAAACATACAAAAATAGGAAATAAGGACCCACAAGAATATATTAAAAAGCATTTTACAAACATAGCTCGTAAAAGATGTATCAAAGGCGAGAAAATATATTCCCTGTTAATTAGTTTGGAAACGAACAGTAATATAACTACTACTGTTTGTGGTTAATAGGCTACAGTCTTCGATTTCCAAATATACATTAACACGTACAATTAGACGAAATAAAAATGCAACCAAATAACAGGCACACGACAACTTGTTTTGTTCTCTAGTTTTTTTTGTTTTTTTTTGTTTTGTTTTTTAAGAGCATAATAAAGTTTGTAGTCATTTTTTAGCCGAAAGGGCTTTGAACTTTCCTTTCTGATTAAGGAATTGCCAACATGTGCCCTCTTGTTTAGGCCAATTTCAGCTTACCTTATATCTGAAATAAGCGGAACTACCTGCTTTGTGAATATTATGATATGATTGTATGGCACAGCAAAAACGTATTTCATTGCTTTAGACTTCAATATGCCTATTGTTCACCGTGCTCCCCACCTTTCAAAGAAATGTCTATTTCCCTTCTCTTATTAGAGAGACATTGTGACCTGTGGATGGCGAATATGACTGTTTCGCAAGATACACCAACTCTCTGCCTCCAGAAATTTTTTGAGTATTGCAACACGACGCAGATCTTCAACGTTTACTTTCCTAATTGTACGGAAAATGAAAGACACTTTTTCTTGAAGTAGAATTCAGGAACACCTACAATATTAACCTCAGGATTTTTATTTCAAATTCATGCAAATGTGTTCTTTCTATTCCACGAGTAGTTCCATGGATTTTATGGATTTGATTGATGACTAGCTCAAATAAAAGTGTTGTACCAAGCACCATTTTCTTTTACAGTATTTCATATCAAATATGCGTACCATGAGACTTTTCACAAGCATGTTTGTAGGTGGTGCATTGATCGTGCCCAAATCTCGTTAGTGTATACATTTCTAAAAAATGCAAAAACAAATTAGTTGTTTTTTTCCTATGTGCGTAAGGAGAGCAAGCAATAGTGTCACGAATGACAATCGATGAGGCAATGATAACTGAAGAAACTAAACGTTTAATAGGGCGAACTTGTGCCCAAAACAAGAAAGGAACAGAAGAAAACAGCAGAGCGTCGCGGGCGTCGATGTCGGCGAAACCGCAGGATCGAGAGCTGGGGCGAGACTGACTCCATAGAGAAATATAGAACTACGTAAAGGGGGCGGACACTTCCATATTCCCCAGCGGCCCAATTCAGCGTCAGCGAGCGCACCCATCGGCCAGTATAGTCCTTAGTTGAGTGTTGAATGGATGGATACACGCAGTAACCGCTGGCCAGATGAATGAATGGAGTCAAGGCAAGTTCTGGCGTTATTTTTGTATCAGGCAGTAGCATGCGCCCTCTAGTTTAACAAGTCAGTGTTATTGTAACTAGCATGGTTTTTGTTTAAAACAGAATTGTTCTATAAGCATACCTTAATTGTACTGCAGAAGAAAAGTCATCCAGCGCTACATATAATTCAAATTGACCGCAGACCGAAAAGGATATTTTCACATTTGGGCTAACTCTCTTGAAGGGACGACATGGGACGACACCAGAGTTTGACACACAAAAGTATTTATTTTTGTAACTATCACAAGCAAAACAAACATCAACTCTGAAGACAAGGAGTGATGTATGTTACTCATACATTACATAAATAAGAATACACATGCAAAATGTATGAATAACGCGTTAACTAGTTGTACACTGGAAAAAAAGTCCTGTATTAAAGCGAGATTTACAGCGACAAATGCAATATGACGGAGGGCATTTAAAAATATTACTGTCCAAGTTCCATGAAAGGCGCTTCCACATATGACCATGTGCTGAAAGACGCTTGCACATATATCACTGGCCCAGTGGCTTCTAAATTCAGTGACCGAATGCAAATGTCCGTCAGCGAAGAAACTACAGTCACAATACTTCTTACGTATACCGTATACCATGACCGCGATGGACGAATGACTAGAAACCCGCACGAGACAACAAGCCGCGGAACCAACTCAACCCACACAACGAGGCAAGAGACACAGACCAAGGAGCCGAAGTATCCGCCCTCCGTCGGGTCCACGACTCCGAAGCCAACCGTCTCGCCGCAGCCATAGCCACAGCCGTTGAAGTCATTTTTGAAAGTTTTCAAAGTTCGTAATAATTTTAAAAGTTTACTCTATACAACGAAGTTATTTATTAATATTATATATTTGACAAATGTTCAGAATAAGTTGCACTGTTTCGCCTACTAACGGCCTGTAGAGTCCCTAGCTCCTGGGCCGCGAAACGGCTAGAGTGGACACTCTTTACGTAGTACTATATTTTTCTATGCTGACACAGCATCGGCACGCAGAGCCCCCATAGAGTAATATACACAAGCTAAAGAACGGACACTGCCATAGGCCCCAGCGGCCCAGATAGACAAGTGACAGCTAGCGCTCCTAGCGGATGGCATTAAACATAATCTAGTTCCGGTTCCGGTCAAGTTAGTTTCGGTTTTGGTTTGGGCGTTTCTGCTCCGGTTCTCCGGTACCCTTCTCCTTCTCTTTCTCCCAATCTTTCCTTCTTGCGTCGCTCCTCGCTAGGCTTCCAGGAGCTCTTCGGCTCCCGGAGCCGCTGTTTCTTTTTTTTTTTTTTTTTGATGATGACGCAGTTTTTTTTAATTTTTACGATAGAATCCGTGCAAAATGTGTAAATAAAAGATCCTACTTCACAAAACGGATGCGTATATCTTCTTTGTTTTTTCTACTTTAAAACATTGAAGTTACACAATCTCCACATTGACTCCTGACTGGTGGAGCATTTTGGGGTCAACAACAGTAAGTGGTTCAAAAATATTTTATTGGACCACATTCGTGTATACATAATTTACTTCAGACACTCTGTATGTTTTACAAGAAACAGGTACTAATACTCACTAAAATAAATGAATATGAAGGAGTTCGGCATATCGTACACTCCGTATTAATAGATTTTTAGCGGAACCAAGTTAACAAAAAATTTTAAACAGGAAACATGCTGGATGGTGCCTTCGCTTTCACGGCGACTCGGGCACGAAAGTAAGTCCAGAAATAAATGAGACATTGCTATCATTACTAGTCATAAGAGTATAATAAGAGTGCAAAGCACACAGCGAAGAGTACGAATTCCCAATTTCCGGCTAATATAAAACGTACGAATTGGCATAGCCTGAAACATACCGCGGGCGAGCCGACACCAAATACTAAGAACTCTGCTCGGAATCTGACAAGATTCAACGTTCCTAAACACTCCTTGAAATATATTTGATCAGAAAGAAAATATGGCTTAAAAAAGGCGTCCAAAAAACTATGGACTGTGGATACAAAAGTGGATACATTTTCTTTCTAATATCTATAGCGCCTATACAAAAATATTTTATAGAAATTCCGTAGAAAGTGTATAAATACTTTTGAAAAAGGACCGAGATACACATTTCCTGGAAATAAAGAAAAACAATTTTTCGGGTGTAAGCTGCACCGCTCAGTTAGTAAGCGCTTTCTGTTTTGATTTGGCCAACCACCTTCGTTAATACACACATATTAACAGTTAAACTTGTCTCGTTGCTTTACAGCAACCGAAGAGTGTAACCAAAGTTTGTTTAACTTCCGGTTAAGAAATCGAACATGCCAACACAAGCGTATTCTGCAACATTTAAAAAAAAATCATCCGTGGCACTCTGAGCAATGCTAAAACTACCCAGACCTGAAAGTGTGTGATACGAGACAGCACACACTCTTCAAACATGCGCCACGCTCTCTATTACAGCAAGATGGCGATTTTCTAGTTGCTAAATGAAATTAAATGCAGCCTGGGATGGTATATTAGATTCCCGAAGAGTTTTCCAGGCACGTGATATGCTTTAAGCAGAAGAAAGCACTTGTGAGGCCTGGTCAAGCTGTCAGACTTTTCCCTCAGCGGCTGAGAACAGCCACAGCTGTGGGTTGTCCGTTCAAGGAAATGCTTGATCAAATAGCCCCCAACGTATCAAGTGGACGAGTCATCATATATGTTAAACCTGATGTCTGATGTCAGCTAAGAAATATCCTCTAGTGGCGGGAAGTTATCAATTAGAAGACATTCCACATTGTTTGCAAGTGAACTTTCATGATGCAAAAATATTGGTAACTCCTTGAGGAGGTACCAGCTTTGTCATCCTCTACGTTTCCATTGTTGGACAGTTCGAACAGTTTCTTTATGCATATCTGTTTTAGTCCTGAGGAGAACTGGTACACTTTTGGGCTGGTATTGCAGTCAAGCATTTGTCATATAGCTCCAAGAATGTTCTCAAGTGGGTCTTGCTGCAGGCGTCGTGCTAGTTATGGCTGTGCAAAAGCTCCTCCCAGAGCATGAGGACACTCTTTATAGTAACTTGCCACCCTATGATGGTTTGTGGCTGCATCCTACTTTGGAACTTCCATGCTGAAATCCAGACTTGTACACGTTACTGAAAAATAAAAGGAATTATATTTGCAATTACTCAAGGCTAAATTTGTAGTGTATGTAGTGTAGTTGAATGTAAGATGAAGGAACGCCGAATCAGTTGTACGCCTTTTCATCGTCTTCTTCCTTTATCATCTCATTTCTGCTTCGTCTTTCTTTTCTTTAAACACTACATTTCCCCCGTTTTTTAAAGGAAATGCACATACTAAAACAACCAAAGCAGAAAAGAAGCATCTAAATAAACAAAGTTGTCGAGTCAACGAAAACCCGAGTGCCTATATGGCAATGTTCATGTCACATAACTTCCTAGTCTTTCCGGAGGTTTTCGTTGTCTGCAACTCCTGCGAAGAGGTTGGAGTTGAAGTTCTTGTCGGTGGGTGTCTGTACCATTTGACAATGATCTCGATTCCGGTCGGTCTCCCGCCGGGGAAAACTCGTGTGACTGGGGCGTGTTTGGTGGAGGATTCCACGAAGTGGCAGGTGACAGCCCGTTGTCTGTCCCCGAAGTAAGTCGTGGCAGGACTTCTTGTGGTAGTTTTGAGAGTTTGCTTGCATTCCACACCTTGTAATCGTCGAGCACGAATGCATTCGATCCTCGACGCTCCAGTATCTTGCGTGGCTTGGAGTATCTCAAACTCCCCTTGGCGTGATGACCTGGCAACTTCACGCGAACGAAATCGCCTGGCTGAAAAGCTGGCGTACGTGCGCCTCTCTTCTGGTCTACGTACTCTTGAGCAGCAAGCTGCTGTCTTCTAATTCGCTCTCTCAGCTCCGTCATTGCTCCGGTCGGTTCCGTGAAAAAGCTTTCTGATGGCCATCCGACGACATTCAGCTTGGTCCGCGGATGCCGATTGTGCAACAGGAATGCGGGCGACACACCCGTAGTTGAGTGTGGTGTTGCACGTATACTCCGACATATTCGGTCAGTGTTTCTTCGAGGTTTCGTTGTTCAAGGAGAGCCAGCTGAATAAACCCCTTCAGCACTCGGTTAAATCTTTCAATCATACCATTTGACTGTGGGTAGTAAACGGATGAGAACGTATGTCGAATGCCACGTTCCCGTAAAAATTCTTCGAATTCTGCCGATGTAAATTGGCTTCCGTAGTCTGAGACGATTTCTGTCGGATATCCTTCAAGGCTGAAAAGCTTCCGCAGGAATGCAGTCACAGTTTCGCTGGTTACCGTGCTAGCCAAAACAATTTCAGGCCAGCGACTGTA